TACATTCATGCATAATATATACATACATACATATATATACACACACACACACACACACACACACACACACACACACATTATATATATATATATATATATATATATATATGTGAATTCTTATGCACACATCCAACATGCACATGTGTACGCAGTTACACATACAGTATGGCGAGAAGCACGTTCACAGTATTTGTACAGCACTGTACGTTATATCTGAAACAATATCGCTTTACTCTGCGATACTGCGATAACAATGGGAGTAGTTTTTCGGTTTGTGGTGGTTGCAGCGCTCATCTGCGCATGAGTGACCCCACTAAAACAATACGCATTCTTCAAACTGTTCATGCTGTGAGACCACTGCTGGAACTGACGCGGTTAAATTAAGTGTGCATTCTCGAATTAATTCCGCCATAGTGGAAGTATAATTCTGTCTAAGCTTCCTTTATTTTATATCAATATTTATAAACTATTATTATTATTCACAAGATACCGCTACACGCAAGCATATTTCACTTCCGACCTTCTCCAGTCTCATTCATCCTCGAGTTCGGAGTCGACCTCTCCTATTTCACTCATATGAAGAAACTACGAAATAAATACGAAATCAGATATCAGTGCGAATGCGAATACTCTGCTCATGGCTATTACCTGAAAATAACAATCTGAAGAATGAGATGAGTAGAATCAGAATAAATATTCAAGATAATCATACACTCATACCTGATTTGAAGCATTTTTGCTGGCCACGGATTGCTTCGCCAGCACGCGGTAATTGTAGGCGAAATCACTCCATTTCTTGAATTCCTCCCACTCTATCGACCCAGAGTTGTCACTATCTAATGCTCGCATGGCTCCCTCCAGATGGGCAGCGTCATACCTCCAATTGATCTCCTTGAATAACGCCTCGAGCTCCCCAGTTTCTATCGAACCGCTTTTATCCGTATCGATAGCATCAAAGGCGTTCTTAAGCACCATTAATCGCACATCTTCGGGTGATTTGTCACTGTACTCTCCCATCAAATTGAATTCGGTGAAGTCAGGGATGGAGCACTCAGACAAGGAGCCGTCATCATCAGTATCGTACTCGTTTACCAGACTGAGACGGGAGCCGGTGGCAATCGGATTGGCAGGCTTGAGGATCCTGAAGGAATAGGCGAACTCGGCCCATTTCTTAAACTCGTCAAACTCAATAGTGCCGCTGTTGTCGGCGTCCATGGATGCTAGAGCTATTTTCACCGATTTTTCGTCATGCGCCCAATTGAGTTCCTGCGAAATTAATAACAGACATGAAACCCATATTCGTTCGTAGTGTAACCGGCAATGTCTTACTACACACATTCAGCAAGGAGAAGTGGAACAATACACATGTAGCAAGGTGAATGTACTGTATTGATATCTGCGTACGTGTACTTTGAGTGTAGAAGAGTACAACACACAACAGAAGAATCCATTTCGGGCCACCACCACCACCAGCAACTTACATCAAACAGTTTGGTAAGCTCATCTACATCGATCGCGCCGCTCTTATCGAAATCATATTTATTGAACGAGTCCTACAAAAAGAATAGAATGAGTCAAAGTCAGCAAAGAAGACAGCAATATCAATAGGCTACAAAAAGCGAGAGACTTCACGGCGTGCACGACAATCCAAATAGTGTACAACGCCAATCATACATATTATATATATATATATATATAAATATATATACCTATATAGGTACAGGTCAATAATATATGCATGCGTATATAAAAGCATACATACATACACACATACACACATACATACATACATGTATATATACGTAGATATATATACATATATAAATATAAATAAAAAAACTAATACATAAATATATGTCATATATATATATATATAAATTTTTATTATTATGGTATGTACATAATCTACACATGCATACATTTATACACACAATTACACACACACACACATATATATATATTAAATAAATATATGTTAAATATTAAACACACACACACACACACACGTATATATGTATATAAATATATAAATATATATATATATACATAGTATGTATGTATGAATGTGGATGTATCTATCTATCTATATATATATATATATAAATATATATATATATATATATATATATATATATATATATATATATATATATATATATGTAT